AATCAATTAGGTATTAGCTAGCATTAATGGAGCTTCTTATGGAAGCTACTGTCTTCTCGAAATGCGTGATAAGTTGAAACAAAAATGGCTTTATTTTTCATTGAGGGTATAATAGACAATTTGATATCAAATTTAGCCATTTTTGCAAGATTTATCAAAATTAGATACTTTAAAATTGACAAGCATGAAATTGACCATATTTGTAAATTCCCCAAGCACTTGTTCGAGTCACTTTTTTTTTTAGAATGTATTTTGAAATAGTAAATTAATGGACAATGTATGATTAAAAAATAAGAAAAATTATAAATTTATGTGTAATATTATTTTATTGAAGAATGTGTGATTGAAAAGAAGTGAGATAAAAATGTATTTTGGAAATAATAAAGATGAAGGCCAAAAGTAATTTTCATGATTTCCCCCAGCTTCATTTTCCAGTCAGTCCCACCCCTAAACAGTGGTTAAAAAACCCTAACCCTTAAACCTAGCATTTGAATGATGAGATTGATCTAAATTCATGCGTACACCTGTATATTCTGAAATGCTGAGAAGAAGATTAACTTCACTATTATCAACTTCAATCCTCAATGCCCACAATCAATTCCCCAAACCCACCTCAATCTTGCCACCGCGCATATCCAATGTAACCACATTGCTCCAATTCGTAGAATGCCGGCCAGGTTTGTCGAACCTGAGTTCTAATGGATGTTTTAATTATCAGAGTACGAGGGCTTACAGCAGCCTATTGGCATTGAACGATTTGAGGGATAACAAAGGGGCCCGGAAACAGAAGACCCGGAAGGGCCGGGGTATCGGGTCGGGCAAGGGAAAGACGGCTGGTCGGGGGCATAAGGGACAGAAGGCCCGGGGTACTATGAAGTTTGGATTTGAAGGTGGTCAAACTCCTCTTCGTCGCCGCCTCCCCAAACGCGGGTTTAAGAATCCCTTCAGCCTCACTTTTCAGGTCGTATATATATGTGTCTGAGTTGTAGTTCAGTGATTTTTGTGGAAAATTTAAATTAATATTCCTTTGGAATTTCTAAAAGTTTTCTGTTCTGCAACTTATTCATTTCTGTGCTCTTACGGAGAGTAATGTTTGTAAAATATTTGCTTTCTTGAACCACATAAAAGTACAATAGTATGTGTTACATGATAGAACGTTTACATGGCATATGGCATTGGCCCGAATATTGATATCCTATAGATTTATTGATTGCAAGAAGATGGAGAGATATCCACTGATAAAAGTTTGAGTTTGAGAAATGAGTCCAGTTATTATTCTTAGCATGAAAATTGAATATGTCAAACTAGTGACTGTAACAAATTGCTGTGACCGTGAGTCAAGTTACACTTGAATGATTTTTCTCAGAGAGGATTTGCATAATCCTGAAGGTAACTTAACACTCTAAATTAGTAGTCTAGATGCATTGTGAGAATGCCATTTGTATGCAATTATTTTGCACGTTGGTCTAGTTTCTTCATTATTTTCTACTTTCTAATCCCCAAATCAATGACAGTGAAGTGATGGGCATGTAATCAAGAGTCTTCTACAAGATTATATTGTGACTAAAAACTGTTTCCTTTTCTCGTGGGCCTAGGATTCCCATGTGTAGCCTCGCCTGTTAAAAGAATATCTCATTTGTCCATGTGGTTAATCGCTTACTTATTGATCGAAGGTTCAGTAAAATCTCAACTTTTATTGGAAGAAATATAAAGTATTAGACGAAGGGAATGATGTAAATATCATGGAAAACTTTAGGTTTATTAGATAGAGCCACTTTGTGGCAAATTATGATAGCCTGTTGGTAAGAAATGGTGACCGATGAGGGACATGGTGCAGATACATGATAGTCAGTCTTTGTACTTGCATGATATACTAGCACCAGATCCTCAAACCTAGAGTTCTTGCAGGTACTCTGATATTATTATCCAAACTGAATGAAAACTTGTGAAAAATTGAGAATTCTCACATAAGATGAGGGGTTGTATGTCATACTCCTAATCAAGTCCATGCAATATAGAGTCGTGTATTTTTTTCAGAATTTTGGCCTTTGTTATTGAGTAATATTCAGCATCCTGCCTGGTTGCACATTCTATAGAATAAAAGTGAAAAAGTGTACACAGCCATGATAAGATAAACAATGCTTGTGTGTCACTTTGCTAAGTGAAGAAATTAACCTCTTATAAATATCTATTATGTCATGCTGTTGGACAAGCTCTCTTCAAAAACTTGACAGAAGGCATTGAGTAGATAACACTATAGTAACAATTAATTGAAAGTACAATTAAATCTTCTCTTAACACTATAGTAACTGTTTTCCAGGTGTGCATGGTGGTCGATATTTTATTTAATCCCTCTTCAATCACTTGTATATTTCATTGTATTGTTTGTCATTGTCTAGTTAAGGTACCAAAACTCATTCATGTGCACTTCATCTGACCTCACTCAACCACATCTTTTCATTGTTGGTTTGTTATATGAGCAATATCAGTGATGGTTCCTGATTGACTTATGAATGTCATTTTTTGGGGTTATATGCACTTTGTCTATTTTCTGGAGAATTACTTGCTGTTAGTGGAAGGTTTTCTGATTCTGATTCCAATTCCTGGAACATTTGCAAATCTTCGACATAAAGTGTATGATTTTATACAAAAACATAGGAGTCAAATAAATACGGTACAATCCTCATGTGAATTGGGGATTATGTACCTTGTGATACTCTGCTGCTAAAAGTTGGAAGTCTGCACACAGTATTTATCACCCCTTCTAGAAAGTACAACTTGAACCAAAGAATGATTGGATAAAGTCATGTTTCTTGATCAGAATCATATAATCAAATGGATCATTTTAGCCATATAACCACGTGTATTTTCTTTGTTTGCACTTCTCATTAAATATATAGAACCAGAACGAAAAGTCATGCATGGTGGAGATATCTTGTTTTTATGTGGCTATATCACGAATTAAAACATCCTTATCCATCAACTATGCAGTTTTTGATGAATGCACAAACCTTCGAAGCTTGTTTTCTTTCTTCTTGGTTAATGTGCCTGCAGCTTGAATTATTAGTCTGAATTGTTAGGTTATACGTTCTTTCCTCTTTCGCTCGCTTACACACGGACACAAAATGCATTCAATATGGGTGAATTGATGTTTTTCGCTAGCTTTTTATTTTAACTTTTGAATGCACTTGTAACATTGTGGCAGCCAGTTGGCTTAGGAAAAATTGCAAAGCTGATCAATGCGGGGAAGATAGATTCTTCTGAGTTGATAACAATGAAAACTCTCAAGGCAAGTATGAGTTTCTGATATGACTTCATACCATTGTCGCAGCCAGTTTACTTACACATCGTTTGTCATTACAATAGGATGCAGGGGCAATAGGGAAGCAGATTAGAGATGGAGTTCGACTGATGGGCCGTGGGGCTGAACATATACAATGGCCAATCCATCTTGAGGTAATCCAGATCTTCTTGTCAGTTTTGGGTTTATTTTTGTTATTTATTTTTTTATTTTTTTATCAGTTAATGTGAATATATATTGATTATAAGACGAGTACAACTACTTCGGGCATCCCCGAGCAACAAATATCAAAATATGTATCAACAATTACAAACTAAAGACCAATCGCTAAAATTTCAAACCGATTCAAAATACGATGGTGCGATTGTGCAATGTAAACATTACCTTGTATACGTGTGTTTTGATTCTGTGAATAATGCTATCCACATGCGGTCGTAGATCCTCAAATAATTTCCTTTTCCTAGTTTTTATTTCTCCTAAGTGGAATCTGTTCTTTGCTAATCCATTTCAATTTAATATATTCTTTTACTGTAGATGGGAGGAACAAGTATCTTTACTCAGTCTCCGCGCACTCATATCATGAAATTTCTTGTAACCTTGAATTGCTGCTTATAAAATCATGTTTACAGGTGTCGAGGGTCACTGTCAGGGCAAAAGCTGCAGTTGAAGCTGCTGGTGGGTCCGTAAGAAGGGTGTATTACAACAAACTGGGCTTCCAGGCATTGCTGAAACCCGAGTGGTTCGAGAAGAAGGGCAGGTTGCTTCCTAAAGCAGCAAGGCCTCCACCGAAACAGAAAGATAAGGTAGATAGTATTGGACGTTTGCCTGCCCCTACCAAACCAATTCCTCTGACACACGAAGAGAAAGAGCCAATGTCTGCTTAAACTACCTGACGTTTGCTTAGATGTTGTAGAGTTAGATGATTGCTATATGAACAAATTGTTTTTAACAGTAATTTGAGTTGAGCCTGTTTCTGTTCTTGTCATATGCCTGCTGATGGGAAATAAAATTTTCTTGTTCTGTTAGTCGCCATTTTTTATAACTACTTTGGCTTCTTTTGTATGGTTTGGTGCATTACACCGTGCAAATATATAGCTCAGGTGATTGCCACATTGATGCTGCAATTGAATCACAGTAAAGCTCAGTCAAAAGTACGATTGTGTTTCCTACTTTCCTTTCTGTGATGCAAATCAAGAATCCAAATATTTGAATATTATGACAACTTAGATGTAGAAAGTAATTTTGAGGGGTTGCTCAATTGGTCAGACCTTGATTGCTCCCCAATGGTCTTCATTTCGAGTCCTCTCAGGGACACTGAAATGAGTATTTGGTCGTAAACTTCGGAGCTCCGTGGAATTAGTCAAGGTGGGCGCAAACTGGTTTGAACATCAACGGTTATAAAAAAAAAATGTAGAAAGTCCTGGCTCAAATAAATTTATTGGCTTAAGATTTCCTTGCTCAAAAATGCAAATCTCAGTGACTGCTAAGGATGTTTCTTGCAAAAAAAAATATGGAATGGAGAAACTGAACCTGGTTGCGTTTGAATTGATCTCAGGGAAAAAACAAGCCCGCGCCCACCAAATTGCCACATTTGAAGATTAAAATTCAATCCCATGAAGTTTACAAGAAGCTTAAAAAATTGTTTGATGATCCAACATGCTGATCAAATTCAATTCCATGAGCAAATAAACTGTTTTAATATTATTTGAGAAAGTAAGCTAAAGTCAAAATATAGGGAAGTACATATAAATTAAAGGAACAAAATCTTTCTCCAACCTCCACCGCAGTTCCCAAACTGCAATGGCTGGGCTAGACTGATGGGGTGATGGGTGGTGTCAGGGGACTGGCGGTAGCGAGGTGATAGAATGAGGTGGTGGTAGCGGCGGTGGTAGTAAGGTGGAACCAATGGTGGGGAGCAAGGGCGGAGCTAACTCGTCAAAGTAGGGGCGTCTCAGAGTTGAAAGAGTGGGGACCCATGGGGGTTCGGTGCCCTCGATTTTTTTTTTTTTTAAACATTGTCTCTTAAAATGAGGGAAGTTGGTACATTGTGATGGAGAAAGGAAACAAATGAACATAAATTAATGTGCATTATTAACAAAAAAATCAAAAAACGTACAAAAGAAAGTACTAATATTTAATTTAGCAAAAGCATACCTTGTTACAAGCGTTCCTTTCGAGTTCTCATACTTTGATAACGTTGTATAACTACATCATCATCAATCATGTCGAATACATCCTTCTCAATATACACAAACAAGCTATCATTTAACCATTTATCATTCATTCGATTGCGCAATCGATTCTTGACATAATTCATTACAGAAAATACCATCTCTACCGTAATAGTAGCTGTTGCAAAATTATCCTTCAAGTGTACGGGTTCGTTGTACACGTAATAGCTGTGATGAGTGAGTTATTGTCCCACGTGGAATAAAGCTCAATTCTAGTGTATCCGATATATCTAAATTCGTAACAATAAGAAGATATGATTGATTTGTATTTAACTACGTTCTATAATTACGAAAACAATAAAAGAAATAAAGTGGTTTTTAAAATCAAGTGTGAATGAATGTATTAGATTTCCGAATCCACTAATTGACTCTAGAATTCAATTTTCAACTTGTGATAATTAATTCAATCTTTGCATTCGTGACGATCGATCATTCCATTTTTATTTTTTATTCTTTTCTAAGATATAATAAACATATGCTGACCACGACACGATCCTATTCCTAATCTACATTAATATGATAAACATGCATTAAAATATAGGATTATCACACATGATCGTACACTTCACAAATATTATTCCTAATATTTATTCTTCATGTGTTCCATATACAGTGTTCTACTTATCGTGAGTTTTTCAACACTACGAATAAGAACTTATTGCCCTAATGGTGCGTAAACATTAAAATAATATGAAAAAAGCATGTATATAAAATTATAATGCAAGAATTAACTATAAATCACAAGTCTTGAATTAAAAACTAGAAATCAAGTAGTTTCATCATCCATTCAATACAAATAAACTCAGCCTAGCATATTGATATGAAAATCACATAGAAGATAAAAGAAAGCCATCACCTGAATCATGTAAATAAGAAGAAAATCTAGAAATCTTCACTTCAAGCTTTCGAAATCGGATCCAAATGGTGAATACCTCCTTCTTCAATGTAAGTTTTTTCTCTTTTTTTCTTAAAAATACGGCTCCCCCTAAAAGTCCACGGAATTTCCCCTTATATGTCCCTCCAAAAGTGCCCTAAAACATTATTAAAACGAAATAAAAGAATTACAGTTATGTCCCGTATTACATTGAGGCGCGCACCTAGTAGAAACTAGAGCGCGCGCCTTAGCCTTTAGGTAGGCCTATGTCGAGGCCAATTTGAAGTGAGGCCCGCGCTTCACCTACAGGCGAGGGCGCGCGCCTTAGGCTAAATTTTGGGGCCAAATTGCAATTTTTTCACAGCTTTCATTATGGCCCATTTTCTTCATTTCATCAGGTCTTTACTCTTTTCTTCATATCCAATTCTTGCAATCTCACCTTTCATTTCTCGGTATGAGCTAACTTTTGATTATTTGCCTTTTAGTCCTCATCTTCTCTTTTATATCGATTATCTCCCTTTATTGCATCATTTTCTCCACTTTCGTTGTTTTTGTCAATGTGAATCTAAAACATAACGTAATCCCCTTCAATCTAAATATCACAAATATCCATATTTTGACAAACTGATTAAGCGAAATAAATGCACTTATCAGTAGCAACTGGAAGAATTAATGTCAATATCAAAAGCTTGTATACTAACGATTATACTTCATTTTTTTGTCACAACCAACTTTTGTGCAAGTTCACCAAAGTTTTGTAATCCTCCAAATTCTTCATTAGTGTGCATATCAATTATGTGTGTGTCAATTTGATCATCAAGTTTTTGATCATCAAGTTCCATCACAGCTGATACTTGAAAATCTCAGCATTTTGTACAGCCAGTTGCATTGATAAATTTTGTGCTTTTGCTAAAAATATTCTCTTGCTGTATAAAATGGTTGGACTGAGCTCAAATTTCTAAATGTTAGGTAAACTAGAAAAAGATGCGAAAAACTGTAGCCGAAAACTAACTTTCCTTAATCGGACCTTTGGAAGATACAGCTACTTAATTGGATGAACAACGCTCCAGTGGAAAACCTGCTAAAGTTTTTGCAACATTTGATAGGTAACTCGTTAATCATAACTTGAGAGATCACTACACAACTAAAAGATCTTTACTGAGCTTCACTGGTGTTACAGGTTGCCTGTAATTTCACAAGCAATACTAATTAGTTGTGAGTTCATAATTAAGTAGATGATACATTGGATGTGCTATTCGTGATCTCAAAGATCTCCCTCATTCGCAATATTTGTGCTATTTTACCGCTACAAAAATGAACATTCATTCAATCATGTGGTTTGTATCACGTTTGAGGAGAGCAAATTTTTTTTTTGAGTTGCTATACAAGATATTACACAGATTTAGAGAAGGAAATGTAGTGACTGATTACATTGCAAATGGAAACAATATCTCCATTATTAATGGCATAGGTTCCTTATACTCATGTTTACCATTTCATTCTTTCTCTCATTAATTTTGTGTTTCTTTATCTAATGAATGTGTCTTATTCAAAAAGTAAAAAAAAAAAAAATGTCAAAAAATTCGGGGGAATGGGAACCATTGCCCCGTTACAAGTTAGAGATAAAATTTAATAAATAAATGTGTTTATCTGTAAGTATTTAGATATAGCATGATATTTTACGAATATATTCCACCTATATAAACAACATACGTTCAAATGAAGAAAACCATCAAACATATTCATAACTATTTTCATTAGTTGCAGGAAAATATCTTATTTTCTGGGATCAACAACAACATGCAAATGTTAAGGTAGACAAAAATATATGTTAAAAAAGATGGATGCATTGTAACAGTAAGCAACCTGAATACTTGATATTTTATTGATTTATAAAGAATATATAAAATACAAGAATGTGTTATTTTTCCTCTAAAAAGTTAAAAATAAATAAATAAACCTAATTTGGATCCACACAAGTTCACCGGCAACTTCAAATTTATTTGGAAAAAAATTTAGTTCTTCATTTGGATCCATACAGAACTTGGGGGGATGGGGGGAGAAAAGTGAAGCTCAAGCTGTTGTAGAGAGTGCACTGCATAATGATTTGTATGCATTGACACAATGCTTGAATTTCTCTTCTGCAACTGCCTGCCAAAAGTAATACATCTATCAACACTCCAAAATCATCCTAACACCTACAGTCAGAATATGTAATTGGGACAAGTTCGGTAAGCAATATAGAACAAGTACTGGACACGAAGATAAACAAAATTTTAACTTTTCCTTTCTTAATACTGTCTGGCGGGTGCAGCCCCAGCCCAGATTCATTAATAATGAGGAATTTTTGTAACAATAGCCCATTTAAAAATAAGTGCAGGCACAAATTCTAATTCAATTTGAAAATAGACCATGAAGCCCTAGCACAAGATTTAAGTTGATGTAAACTAATTTCCCATTGTGAAAACCCCACGAATTAATGATTTCATCAAGTAAAAAACTATTTACAGGAGGGACCAAAAAAATTCACCATTTATTTCCTGTGCTCATAGATCTTAATGTCTTCCTCTACACCATTGACAAAATAATCTACATAAGGAAACAGAAAAATACAGAAACCTAGGACATTTTTATGTTTCAAATATTCTGTCTAAGGATGAGTTTAACTTTCTAAAGCATGAAAAATATTAAACGAGATCTCACTGAGAAAATAAAATTAGATTCAGCAATAAATGAATTTTATCCAATATAGAGAAAATTTGAATAGGTAATATTTTCGTATTTTGTATTAAATTATTGTTTACGTGACATTATTCTTTTATTTATAAAAATTAGCTCACCCTAAAATCTAGTTCTACTTTTGTCGCTCATCGTGGTAGATTTGAGCAACTATAATAAGTTGTTTAAAAATTAAAACTAAATCATTGTATATTAAGTTCATAACCAAAACTTAATACAATGACGATTGGTACCAATAATGCAATTTCACTTTATTAACTAATTTTGGTTTCCATCAACATAAATCCCTGCGTTCAATGCACCTTGTCCAATATGCTAGAAGAGTTTACAATTAACGTTGGATTTCTTAATAATGTACTCCAATCTAAAGGAACCTAAGCCCACCCTTCAATCTTAAACCAGATTCAATCAGTGCTGTGAGCGTCAGCAGGCAATCAAATTTTATTTAGACAATTAAAAGTGTGATTTACCATTGTATCAAATTGTATCCACAAGACATTAAGCGCATTTTGGTACCCAGTATTTAATAGGACAATACAATCCACAATAAGATTTTAGCTTCTTTATCTTTCTTAATCGCTTATCAGTGCTGCCCAATCCACTTTACCAAACACTCCATAAATACTCAATATGCTAATACTAAACAACAATATGCACACAATAATGCTTATCACATCAAACTCATTGAAGCTTTATAAACAAAACCTAAATAGTACTGAAGCAAATGTTTGTTAGGGTGCATTTATGACTAACTAACATTCTCAAAAAGAGAAACATATAGGTAACCAATTAACAATAATGAAACTGACCTGTGAAGGACCTTGATGCTTGTCAGGATGCCACTTCAAAGCTGACGAGCGAAAGCTACACAAAAGAAATATTTTCATGGATTCTTGTCAAATTTGACATTTAACTTGTAATGTATCACTGGAACATGTAGAGCATGTTTGCCTAAGCCTAAAAAGTTCACTTATGAGTAAATGAGTATGTTTTAAAACAATAATTTCTTTTGGTCTAAGATGGAGATAAATCTCCTTATTTTGACAATAGAGTAAGAGTTACCTTCAAAATAAATAATTTATTGTATTTTAAAGAAATATAAGCATGTTTAGCTAAGGTTAAAAGATTTACTTATAGCTAATAATAACTTAAATACATATATATTTTATTGATCAAAATGGAAATAAGTTGCTTACTTTGATAGTAAGATACATTCTACTTTCAAATTAGTAACATTTATACATTTAAAACATAAAATTAGGAAAAAATGAACTTAACCAAAATGTTTGGGAACAAATAGTTACTTTTAAGTAACTTTTACATATTTTTAGCTTAGCCAAACATGCCTTTGGAAACAAAAAGTTACACAACAGTAACTTCTATTTTTTTCAAGATTAATACACAAAACACAGCAATGAGAACACTCACGCAGTCTTGACGTCCTCGATCTTCAAAGGTCCAGCAGGGGGTAAACCAAGAGTTATCCTATCTGAACATGTTCCTACAATTGTAGAACCATAAGTGAATTCGGTCCCACCTTTAGTATCGTGTTCTTCGTATCTTCTGTTGCTCCAGCTAAAATTTTCCCTCCAGTCAAATCCCATTTCCCAAGGTTTAAAGGTCCAAGTGAAGCATCTTTTCCCAAAAGTTGCCTGAAATATTCTCTCAGGGCATGCATCAAAATCTTCGAACATATTATCCCTGCGAAGCTTACCTGAAAATTGCGCAAAAAGGAAACAATTTACTATCTCGGATTCAACTACCCTCAATATCTCATTAAGAATTACTTCAAAAGTGTTCCAACTTATTATAAAAGTTCAATCCTGCAAATTGTTAACCATCTTTCTGACCCCTTGAATTACCACGATCATATAACGCACAAATGAGTTCCTTCAAAGAATAAAAAACAAGAATAAAATGCACGAGTTTTCATCGATGAATAGAATAAACTAACTGGAAGAGAATAGAGATAGACATGCATAGCGTCCATTGTAATTATTCACCGGTTCTCCACTGGAGATATTTAAACTTGATAAGATAAATGCTACGGAATAGCAATTAAATAACGAAATTGTAATTTTGAAGAACTTCATTCAGCGTCTAAATTCTACAAAGGAAATCAGGGGCTTCAAAGCTATTAGAAATTGTTCTTTCTGTCTACAATTAAATTACCTTATTTTCTATTTGTATGTCCATAAATATGCCCTGTTCCCAGAAATCATTTTCTTTCCATAAACACCCTTGCACAGGATGAGATGGACAAGTATTCTTTGTCATTAGTTTTGAGGGTAAAAAAGAAAAACTACATCAGTTATTCACTTTTTCAACTCACCTAAAAATATGCATGCCATTTCAAATCACGACATTGAATTACAGATGAAGTATAACTTGCAAAGATAGGAAGTGGGCATGTCACTTCTTCATTCTCCCTAGATTTGACAAACAGCAGTGGGGACAAAGGAAATCAGGGGCTTCAAAGCTATTAGAAATTATTCTTTCTGTCTACAATTGAATTACCTTATTTTCTATTTGTATGTCCATAAATATGCCCTGTTCCCAGAAATCATTTTCTTTCCATAAACACCCTTGCACAGGATGAGATGGACAAGGATTCTTTGTCATTAGTTTTGAGGGTAAAAAAGAAAAACTACATCAGTTATTCACTTTTTCAACTCTCCTAAAAATATGCGTGCCATTTCAAATCACGACATTGAATTACAGATGAAGTATAACTTGCAAAGATAAGGAAGTGGGCGTGTCACTTCTTCATTCTCCCTAGATTCAAATCACGACATTGAATTACAGATGAAGTATAACTTGCATAGATAAGGAAGTGGGCTTGTCACTTCTTCATTCTCCCTAGATCTTTCCATGCTCACCTCCCATCTCCAGAAAATCCATCAAATTGTTCCACTTAACAAGTGCTGGTTTCAAGTTCACCCCACTTATAAATGCTGCTCACGCTAAATAATTCAAGCTGCTTCTCGTCCCACCATATATCACTTACTAACAGTTGTTTGCCTTAGGTTCACTGTCTTGTACTTTGGCATCTAATAGTAGTCCATCTTAGCAGTTTCTAATCACGATTTATACATTACATATTTCTTAATTTGCATTCATTTTTTACTTGTGCATTATTTTCGTCAAACATCTGTCTACATTAATGTCATTTAGAAATACATGTGATTTGGACTTGTACCAATATTAACATAGCCCATGTATTTGAACTAGTTACATGATTCTTGCTCAGGTTGACATTACTTTTTACATTCTGTGCTAGGTTCAAGATCTTGAAACGATTAATTTGTTGTCTTGAGGTTGATGGCTTCAAGGAAAAACTGTCTTATGACAATTCGTAAGGTCCAAGTAATGCTGTTTTCTATAAGAGAGCGTGCTTTATCACCTTATTTGGGTTTCCAAGTTAGCAAGAGAACTTAAAGAGTAAGATTCTTCTAAATGATTTTTAAAGGATAAGCAAAGCTCATCCTTCTAGAATGATAAAATTAGGTTTCTCCAACAGTGAGCCTGACATAAATGCTAAGACGCTAAAAGAATGAATGTGTAATGCGAATGATCCAACCAGAAATTTTTCTTGCAAGTCCTCTGGAAGAACAGTTTAATTTCAACATGAATAACTAGAATAGCGAAAGATAATTTTAACGGGTCAACAAAGTTGTTGGAGAAAAGATGAACTAACGCTTTATTTTCTTGTGGTAAGCTCTCCTAGCTTGACGAACAGGCTTTATTCGAGATTTCTTGTTATATTGATCTTCACATTCTGCTTCTATTTTATGAAATGTCTCCTTATTTACACAAAAACAACACAAGTCAGAAAATCCATATAAATAAAAGAAATCTACAACTGATCAGAAAAAGGATATTGAAGGTAAAAAGTGAATTGGCATGAGCATAGCCATTATCCATTTGACGTTTCAAAGAATAAAACAAAAAAAATACTGAAGCAGCTGAGACTACATATCTAGACCAGAATCTGCATAAGTCCTTATTTGAAATTTCAACAGCTCTTCACCATTCTTCAACATATATCCAAATCCATATACTGTGATCCTAGATATATATTACATCAACCATACAAAAGACAAACTATACATATATCAAATACTGTGCGGCTTTGGATTCTTTTTTGAGCGAGAAACAAAACATGTTCATCCATTAGACACAAGTCACGAATTTCAATGAAACTGCAAATGAGGAATATTACATCATGGACTTCTTTCCAAATAACTCAACTAACCCTAGTCTAAGTGGGGAACTAAGGCCCTGTTCTCTTTGTTGTTTTCAAATTATTTTCGGTTTTCGATTTTCCAAAACACCGAAAACGTGTTCTCCTTCTCATTTTTGAAAATGAATTTTGGAAAAAAAAAAAAAAAAAATTTGCTGAAAACTCAAAACATCCAAAACCATGTTTTGACCATTTTTAGTACAAAACATGGTGATTTCAGAAAACACGGAAAACACTGTTTTCACTTAACCTCCCCCCCTCTCTCTCCCCTCTCCCGACTTCCTCTGGTTTTCAATTTCTTCTACCCTAAATCCACATCTCCTACGGCCTCCACAAGGAGCTTTCCGACGCCGGTCCACCTCCGATTTCCCAACGTCTTTCCACCTCCAGAGCCTGTCCTTGGATTGATGCCACTCCTCCGCCGCCTGTCAAAACTGTGGCTCGACCCGTTGATCCTGCCCCCTACCCATAGCCTCAAAATCAGGTAAGCCCAACCTGTTTTTCTGTGAGTTGTCTTTAATATTTGATCAATATTGTAGAGTAGATTGCTTATGTTGTCGAATAAAGAGGTATGACGCTCCGATTTCAAAAGGTCCTTATTTGAACTCATACCCCCGCTTCCTGCCATCCTCTTCATAGGTGGCCCCCCTAGTTTTGAACTCTATTCCCACTCTAAATCACATATCAATATTGTAGAGTAGATTGCTTATGTTGTCGAATAAAGAGGTATGACGCTCCGATTTCAATAGTTCCTTATTTGAACTCATACCACCGCTTCCTGCCATCCTCTTCATAGGTGGACCACCTAGTTTTGAACTCTATTCCCACTCTAAATCACATTCCCAGCTTTTGTATAGTATTGCCTTGGTCTCTGTTCGTTCACGGCCAAATGAATGCTTGCCAGAGTCCAACGTTAGAGATTACGTTGGTTGATTTTATCCAGTTTTGTCCATTTATATTTCTTTGCTAAATGACATTCTACAGAATATTCAAGCCAAGACTAGAAAATCATCTATTACTGAATAAAGCTTTCATCAGTTCTAGGAAATTAATGCATGTGTATAACTTTAAATGATTATCACTAATAATTTGTTAGCGAAGTTGCAATAAAAAACTGAAGGCCGTTCAAAACATGTTCCTAGTGATTTTGGTGACTTTAAAACGGGGAGATGGCAAAGATGGTAGGTTATGACCACGAAGAAACGGATTCCACTTATGGTTAAAAAATTGGAGTTGAGAGAATAGGAATTTGTAGCTTAGTGATTAGAAATGCATAATAGAATTGAAATAATTTAAGGCAGATTCAGGAAAAAGGAATTCAGTAAAGATGAATAAGATTTCCATTGTTATTTATAAAGCGTTAGACAAATTTTGCTAACATAAATTCCAAAGGATTTGAAAATGAGGGGATCATCATGTAATTCTCAAGCCTCAGTTTGAGAGCTGATGTAGAAAAGATTGGTATTCATATATAATTTAAATGGAACAACCAATTTACATACCAGAGGATGTTGAGCCAATATGTCACACAAACTTTGTCATCAATATGTTGAGCCAATACGTCACACAGAGAAAAATACTAATTTAAGGTAGATTCAACTGTGAAATGCCTTTGGAATAAGTATGTTCTGCTGTCGGCTTTAAGCTAGTGGTTGGCATGGTGTTTGGGCTAATTTCGTTTTATCATTTGTTAACGCAATGTTATACAAGCTAATGCTATATATTTGTATCATTAATAGGTTATCTCTGTCTTCCATTAATGCTATATATATTAATTTTCCATCATCACAGTTTTCATGTACAAAGAGTTATCCTTTTTTATTTGTACTCACTTTTGTAGTTGATGGTATTGTTCAATTGATACTATGCATTTCTTCTTATATTAAAAAACTTGGTAGAATTTATTGGGAAAAGGAAAGAAATTATATCTTTGTACGTAGAGTTGATGTAGGATTGACATGTGCCTATGGAATGACTTATACATTTCGTGATAATTTGATTTCTATTGAATATAGAACATGGCTGATCACAGAGTTAGGAATAAGGAACTTCGTTTTATTGTTTATTACGATCAAGTACTTATGTTCAATTTCTCTCGTTTTTTATGGTTTGAATTATTTCAGGAGCTATTATAGGTGCACTAATGCTTTATGTAGTGTGAAGAAAAGAATAGAGCGATCTTTGAGTGATCCAACCATAGTTATGACTACATATGAAGGCCAACACACTCATCCAAGTCCGCTGATGTCTCGAATAAACACTGTTGCTGCACTGACGCCGTGCTCGGGATTCTCCACCGGCGCATCTACCGCCACATCTATACCGTCACAGCTGCAAATGAGTTTATCATCCGCTGGAGCTGATCAAGTCTATTGCAACTATTCTACACCACTGAATTTTGGTTTTATGGGTTCTACGAATATTAACCGTGCTGCAATTGCGCACCAGAAGCGCTTTTGCACCCCACCTTTTGCTTTGATAACAGATTATGGGCTTTTCCAAGATATTGTGCCCTCAACTGTGAGAAAGGAAGAGTAAAATAATCACTTTTTTTTTTTCCTGACTGACTTATTGCTAGACATTGTTGATGAAATGAAAGCCTCCATTATTGGAATGTGATGCTCTTAATCGATGTTTCTTGTTTTACCCTTTTTTTGTCCAAAAACATCAGCATCATATATACATAATTACAAACCCTAATATGACTGCTCTTGGAGGTGTTAGTTTTAATTTTTTACATATACCTACTTTGTTCGAACCTACAATGTTGTCTCTAGTGACGATCATCTTAGGCAATGGAGCTTAATTTAGGGTTCTAAATTTTCTGCTTGCATTTTTCATCTCACCGTAGGCCAATTCTACGAAACTATGATTAGACATGCTATGCTCTATGGTTCGTTGGTAAAATTCTTGAGGATAAAATGAAACAAAGACAACTCCGTTTGAAGATGAACCAAGGGAAGGACAATTTAAATGGTCAAGACATATTTCCACGTAGTTGAAGAGGTTTACAGAATGACGTGATCTCTGAACAACAATTTACAAGGAGGGTACAAGGCCAAAACTAACATGATTTAATATATTGTAGATCTAACTATGAACCAAAAGGCCTGTTTGAGGACCTTTTTTTTTATATGTAGAATGCATTTTGAAATAGTAGATTAATGAAAAATGTGTGGTCAAAAATGAAAAAAAAAAGTTTTTGAATTGTGTGTAATATTATTTTATTGAAAAATGTGTGGTTAAAAAGAAAAGAGAAAAATGTGTTTTGAAAAAAATGAAGATCAAACAATGTCCAAATTAAGAACCGAGCTTGTTTAGGAATGATTTTCANAGGATAAAATGAAACAAAGACAACTCCGTTTGAAGATGAACCAAGGGAAGGACAATTTAAATGGTCAAGACATATTTCCACGTAGTTGAAGAGGTTTACAGAATGACGTGATCTCTGAACAACAATTTACAAGGAGGGTACAAGGCCAAAACTAACATGATTTAATATATTGTAGATCTAACTATGAACCAAAAGGCCTGTTTGAGGACCTTTTTTTTTATATGTAGAATGCATTTTGAAATAGTAGATTAATGAAAAATGTGTGGTCAAAAATGAAAAAAAAAAGTTTTTGAATTGTGTGTAATATTATTTTATTGAAGAATGTGTGATTGAAAAGAAGAGAGAAAAATATATTTAAAAAAAAAAATAAGAATCAAACTTGTTTTGTCATGGATCAAATTGCTACATACATGTGGAATGACTAGTCAAGAAGTCGTACATGACTTTGTTGATTTATTTTATATTTTGTGTAGTATCTACTTATTTTGGCATGATACGTAAACTTTTAATCGTATCAATTGAACTGTTTTGCTAAATTTAATTTGGGATGTGTTTTTTAGATCTGGAAAAAAATATTTTAAGATTCACCAACTTCAAAATGTATATGTTATTTAATACTATAATAACATTAAACTATTATAATTTATTGAATAATCAGATTTCTTGAATAAAATATTCTCAAAATGTCAAAGTAAATGCATTTTCCATTTTTATGGTTTCAGAAACAGTTTTTCAAAATGACAAAAAGAACGCATTTTCAGCCATTTCAAAACACACTCAAAACACAAAATACAAAATGAATTCAAAACTGAAAATTGAAACACGAAGAGAACAGCCCCTAAATGTTTTGTGAAAGTACTTTTTCTTCAAAGGAAATTTGGCATAGAGAAGAAGTTTTTTGAATACGGACTTAACTTCCAATTACACCAAAGGCGAAGAGAGTTATTTGTTTTCGCTGGAAAGCCTTGCAAGAATACAACCAGTATTGCATGCGAAACGAGAGAACCTTGATTGTGAACAAAATCTCATCTCACTATCCCAGCTCCTATAGGTAATAAATGCATCTATCCACACACGCGCATGAATAACAGTACATACACGTGCATGTGAATACATACAAACAGATATACATGAAAGGTATCAGAAATTAGAAAACAAAGAGTTACAAATTACAATAAACATATTACATATAAGAAAATTTGTGTTCTAAAAGCATGTCAATCACGTAATTAGATGTACAAGATTGACTAGTTGTGTACCTCTTCTATTGATTTGGAACAACCCCCATTGAAGATCAGATTTTTAAGAGCTTTCTTTGCATCAGCACGCTTTTGTCGTACTGCATATCTTATATAATTCTGAATCAAAATCTTCAAATGTCAGAGAAGTTTAAGTAATAAATGTAACCGGGAAAAAAACTAATTTATTCAAATATCATTGATTCTTAAAGCAACAAAAGGCACATTTTCTAAATTAGAACTCCAAATTAACACAACAAGATAGACCCAGAAAATGCTGATCGTCACAAGATACTATGTAAAATTAGAGTATATATTATATTATGTAAGCAACTGAAAATAAATAAGTAAATTTCTGATTATGTTAACATGCTTCAAGTGCTAATCCTTTTTTTTTTTATAACCATGGATGTTCAGGCCAGCTTGCGCATACCTCGACTAATCCCATGGACCCTGAAGTTTACGGTCGTATACTCATATCAATGGCCCCGAGAGGACTCGAACTAGTGACCATTGGGGAGCAAACCCAAGGCCTTACCAATTGAGCAACCCCTCAAGGTTACTTCAAGTGCTAATCCTATCAAGTGAAGACATGTAAAGAAGCATGCAAAGCAAAGGGTAGAATGAAGTTGGAAGGATCGATAGCCTATTTTGCACAAGATCTCTCCTTTTTTTTTTTATAACCATAAACTCAATCATCAAATTCACCAATATCTAAGGTACAAAAAATAAATAAGAAAACCTGAGATGGCTTGTTTGCCTTCGATGGTTGTTGACTGCTTACATCCTGCATAGATACTTTATTTGTTAAACTTCACATCTAGAGAGAAAGAATAATGCTTATTTCTGACATACCAAAATGAATGAGTAAAAAATAGGTCTCACATACAAACAGAAAATGGCCAACAATTGGCCAATTGGGCATATAAAAATGGAAAATGTCATCAGAGAAAATTCCCCTCTTCTTCATTTACTTTCTCATGAATGACAGTTAGCTAATTGCACCAAACAGATAAAATAGAGGAGATGTTGGATTACAATTGATTCCATCTGAAGCACTTCAAAAGCAGCAGCATTGAAGACGCAATTAAATTAAGTAACAATTAAGGGTCATCAGTCAGAAGAAATCCATAAAATGCAATAGTTCCACAAAATCGTCTCATGAAAATGCTTCGATCCTATCCCTTCTCCCTCTTCCTCCCTCTCTCTCAAATTCTAAGCACAGCAAAAAAACTTATGTTCTCCCTTTTCACAAGAACTCAATCTTGCCATATCTGATTATAACAACTGGCATTATGCAACAAGACACGGTACAGCAGTGAAACTAGTTTCTATATTTATACTGCTAGATAATCCATTAGTGGTCTGGGCCAAATTCATAAGCAGCAACAGTATAGCCAAGGAAACTTGAGAGCACCAAAATGACTTGAAATCCTTCTCAATTTTTATCTTTCTTTCCTAAGAGTCCCAATACTGCACAAGTGTCTAGAGCATGCTTTTAATATGAAATGGACCAACATAAACTAAACAAAACTTCCCACTCAATGACCAAATTTTTTACCGCAAAATTCCATGAACTATGTATTCCGGATGAGCAAGTAGAAAAACAACTTCCATTTCACCTCTCGTTCGCAGCGATCAAGTGTCACAACATCAAGAGCATGTTGCATTACAATGTTGTCACGTATGACACCCCATTCTACCTCTTCTAATATTAACTTATGGAAAATAATAAATAACAGTTAAACGTAGTTCACACCTTTGTGAATGCCATATCTCATGAAGCAGAAGCATAAATCTACGTGGTCATAACAATTAACATTCTCACACTTCGAAAAAATTATCCCATGTTAAAAGTAGTACTTTATCCTCAACAACATTTAGTTCTCACACAGCCGGCTAATACCTATCAATTGTTCTTCTGACCATGAGAACTAAATTTTATCAGCATTACAGTACATTAATTTGTGCCATATCATTTAGTTCTCGAAGCTCCTACCAAGCCCAGCTCCAATACCACATCTCTAATCCCAAGTTAGATTACTAGTCTTTGCGACATACTTGGACACTAATCAGTTGGCTTGAAATACTTTAACTAATGTTGGGAGGTGTCGACTATCAAATACACTGGCAATGGTCCACTTTGCCCAAAAATATCTGATTTGAAAGAACCGACTTTATTATATACGTTTTATGTAACTATCACATATCCAATGCGAAGAGTGTTACAAACTCCTCCAAATAAATATGTAACCAATTCCTTACCCAGTCCACATGCCCTAGCTGAACTGAGTAATACTGCCATGCTGCTGGCTGAAAATATCTGTCCCGCCACAATCTGCAGTCTGGACCAACATGATCGCCACCAAAATGCGCCAAGATAATTGCCAAAGAGACTTGAACAAAATGTTTCAAGTCGTTTCTCACATATTTCTCCAAATATATGGTCTTTTTGCAACAAATGAACAATATCATATCAATCTACCTAGCTAAGTGTGAACATAAAAAATGTACAACCCAGCAAATATATCCAATGTTTAAAACAAAAAAATCCCGGAATTCAATAAGAATGAATAGATACCTACCTAACATGATAAGGAAAATCAAAGAACATAGAAGGCACACATACTTAATTGAAATAATTCAACAAGAATAGAAATGCGCTGTCTTTAAAAATCGTATTACAGTAATTTCGAGAACCCGGCAAAAAAAAGAACTTACTGGGTTCCACTTATTCTTCCATTTCTCAAAGGAAACATCAGTAGAATGGAAATTAGCCAAATGGGCTGTTGATGATGTAGTGATCCATGTTGATTGAATAATTGTGTTCTTCAATGTCAAAATGTTTCGCCATCTGGGTATTACTTGCATTATATATCGTAGAATAGCGAAAAAACAACAAAAAAATTATATGACAATATGTATAGATTGCAGGGTTCCTGTATATATGTAAGTGTGTTGTTCTCCGACGATTTTGGCTAACTTTCCGTGAAAGCACTGTCGCTAAGCAAGGTATTGACGCACAATCGTCGTTTAACCTTAAACGGGTCACTTGGGGCAGCGGGTGTTCAAACGGGTTGGAAAAGGGAACCTGACCGATAACCGATCCAGTGTAATGGGAACAATAAACAAAACCTAAGTGTGAGAATTACTTTTAAAAACTAACAAATTTGTCTAATTATTTAAAAAATCAGGTGATAAATAGAGTAATTAAATATTAAATAATAGTATAATATATATTAATTATTTACACCAATGACACCTCACCCACCCCACTATACCACCTTCCCTCCATCTCGGCACTGCTTCGGTGACGTCCAACGACTACTCCGACGACGGCGGTCCCGCGACTGCTCCGATTGCCGCTCCGGCGGTTGTTCCGGAAATTTCAAGATTTTCAGAAAATAAAAAATTGAAAATCACACCCCCAACCCATGGATGAACCTACCACCACCCCACCCCTGCCTCCACCTCCTAAAAAATTTATCGAAAAAAATGTCAAATCATTTTAAATAATCAAGCCGCTGACAGGTCTCATCTGTCACTAATTGTGACCAAATTTGTATTCAATGAACTGTGGCCAAATTTGTATTCAGTGTGACCGTTTATGACCAATTTTGTATTAATTGTGACCGATTGTGACTTAATCATATTCAAGTTACATTCGGTCACAATTAACATAAAATTGGTCACAACTAGTCACAGTACACACAAATTTGGTCATAAATGGTTACCACAAACAAATCCGCTCACACCACGGATCAGCACCACAATCCACCACCTGTCATCACCACCATCACCTCCAATTGGAATTTTAAGGTCACATTTTAATAGTTAGACACAAAGAATCAAATTGTTTGCGATATTAATTTCATTTTTTTCTTCTAATACCATTTCGTGTTCGATAACCCACCTTATCAAACAACCAATCGTTTCTATGGATTTGAGAAAAATTTTGACATTAGAATTATCTTATCATTTCTGCAGTGAATTACACTGATTTCTGGTTTCTGGAGGTCCAATGACCAATTCAGTCTCAACATNAAGTCGCGCGATCTGATTTTTGGTTAAGAGAGCGTGGATTTGATTTTTGGGGGAAGAGAGAGAGTGGGAGGGTTCACTGTAAAAGAAGTGTTCAGAGGTGGGTGGGCAAGTGTAATTAATTTCTTTTAATTAATTTAATTAGGTTTAATTAGGATTTTAATTAACACCTGATTTTTGATAAAATAAACATTACATCTGATTTTTGAATTTGAGAACTTAAATACCTGGTTTTAGATAATTTTCTCTAGTGTAATATTTATTTGGGCCCGTGGTTTATTGTCCCAAGAATATGTAGCATAGGAGGGCCTATGAGTGGGTCAACCCTGTTTGTCCGAGGGAAGATTTCATAATAAATCTTACTTTAAGTATAGACTATTTCAAAAATAAGAAAATAATTTTTAAATTTCAAAAAGGGAAAATTACCCCAAACCCTGTCTTTAAAGTTTCAATTTCAAAAATCAAATCTTAATAACATTTTTTCAATAATCAGGTAATAATTCATCTTTTAAATATTAATATTAATAATAATATTATAAAATTTAATTTAATCAATATATTCATCCCACCCCCACCAGCATTCATTCTAATCCAATTTCATTTCAAAACCCTAATCAAGTTTCTTTATCTTTTCTCTCTCTACTTTCTTCCTTCTCTCCATAATCTCTCCTCTCTATCACAAACAACCATTAGTGATACTGTTGCCACCGTCGGCGATGCTTACGACGTCATCGCCGTACCAACATCGCTCTGAAGCAACTAGCGTAAACGGCGCTCCAGTGGTATTCGCTTCGTGTCGCTGTGACCAAATGACGTTGCTGTGTAATGGCGTCTTTGTCTTCACCATTGTTCAGCCTCTTCCAGTAGCAGCATAAGCGGCGCTCCAATTGTCTTCATTGCTCTGTAGAGGCGTTTATGCAGTGGTGTTCTCGTCACTGGTATGTGATCTCCGGTGGTTGTGTAGATCTGCGCTGCTATGTAGAGCATCTATTCAGTGGTGTCTCCCTCGCTGTTATGTGATCTCTTGAACTTGTGCAGATCTCAGCAGTGGACTGTGGGTGGTGGTGTCGGTGTTAGTGGTAATTGTGGTGGTGGGTTACGGTGGTGGCAGTGGTAAAAAGAGCGGTGCTAGGTGGGGAAGAGATAAAATGATAATTTGTGACCATTTTTGATTGATTGTGACCGATAATTGGTTAATTTTTTACAAATTAATAATGTGTGACCAAAAAATTGTGAGTGACTCACATTTTATTAAGTTATAATTGATTTGTGACCGATAAAAGTAATACGTGACCTATAATTTGATGTTTTGCGACCATAAAATAAGTAGTGTGACTTGTAAATTTTGTGATTTGTGACCGATGAACAAATTGTGACTTTTAAATTTTTAATTTGTGATCGATAATCGAACTGTGGCCTATAAATTTTTTGAATTGTGACCTTAAAATTTTGAATTGTGATCAAAATGTATAGATTTGTGACCTTTATATATTTATTAATAAAATATATAATTAATTAATTACATTATAAATAAATTTTA